CGTCTCCGGTGAAATTGAAATTGAAAATCTGGAATATCGCGCGATTCGAAATCAGCCGACATTGGCCGCGGAAGAAACGAGAAAACTGCGGTTAAGAAGCGCGATTCCCATACGGAGGGCCTGTTGTACAACGATCCTTCAACGAGAATGGTATACCGGTGTAGGCGTAGTTTTCTGGCGTAGCTGAACGCTCGTAATTACAGCTCTGTTCCTTCCTGCCTGTCCGCAAAAACAAGGATTTCAAAGCAACTAGGGGACTAGAACAGTGAGAGAGCGTCATCGAACGGTGCGCGGAAATGGCAGTGATCCGTGATCTCGACCTGTTCCAGAGGGTAGATTCATTGTTGTGCACGGACCATTTAACGAAATTAAAAAATGGAATCTTTGGAAAAATTGCGCGCACGCGATTTCTGGCGATACGTATGTATGTATGTACGTGTATTTTATATAAAACGAAAGTTGATGTACAAAAATGTTGCTCGTTTATAGGCTAACTTTTATATTATATCAACAATTGTAATTTAATCTATTTAGAATCGATTACCCAAAGATGTGGCATAAATATATTAACACCCTGTCCTTTTAAACTTACTTTTCGCAAAGTGTGCATAAATAATGTAGTATAATTATTGTAAGATACAAGTATTAAGATAACGTAGATAGAATAAAATCTTAAATGAATATTTAATAGCATTCCACGTTTCAATAATTTTCAATTTTAAACCGGCGTTTATCTTATATTATTTATTTGAAATCATAAGTAGTCAATAAGACTCTAAGTGTCTAAGCTTTATGATTAGAATGTATCTTGTATATCTTACGATAGTTGTAACATTATAACTTAAAATATTAGTTTAACACATGTATTTTTTATAATGACTAAAAAGTATTTGATATTTTCTAATGGAGTATTTTTCACCAAACTTTACATTTTATTCTCATACTGTTAAATAATGTGAAATATAATATACTCGAGTCAAAATAATTAATATCTAATTGCCACAATAAATAAAACGTTATACAAATTACTTTTAATTTAAAAATAAGTAAAATATATGTGTATTGAAAGATTAAATTCCTAAATAACGATGCTCGAATACTCGTGGAATTGCTTTCTGCAACATTTACCGAATATTTTTCAGTCTCAAAGCGGGAGATCGATATCCGTCAAGGGTCAGCGCAATATCGCGTATAGAAGCTTGAGCTACCCCTCGAAATTGGCATATGGCATGAGGGATGAGGGTGAAATATATTAAAATACATTTCGAAGGTCCATGATGGTTCAAAGCGAGGGTGAACGAACGAAAGTATTCAAGTCGATTTTTATCGTGTCACGAAATCTAAACGTGCGGCGTATAAATACGATAGTTAATTTTCATAGAGGCAAAATTACGTGCCATCTGTTTCGTCAATCTATAATAATGGCGTAACAAACGAACAACGAAAACTCGTTTCGCGTATCAAATTTTATCATACTTTTAAACATTATTGATATTATCAATCTAATAATTAATCAATTGTTTTTCGAATATAATGGAAATCTGAACTTTAGCTAATTTTCTATCTAACCACAATTTACGTGAATACCCTTTTGATAATAAAAAATTAATTAATCAGATAAAACTGCTATTAATATGAACAAACTGATTATGTATATAATTCGAAACATTACAAGATTATATCTTTTTCGTTTCAATTCAGAACTTCTTAATCATCCATTCATTATCCTCGAATGCTATTGCATTTTCAAGCTAAGCAACGATTTGGCTGGAATCCAACTTCTAGAGCATACTTCATTAATTCATCTATTCCCCTCTAATTACATCTTTAATTACATCATTAAGAATGCCAACGATAATTCAAATCACTCGTGAAATTATTCAAAGAATTATTCACGAGAAGAAAGAATAGAAAGAAAACAGAAAAAACAGAAGAATTAAATTGATCCACGGTCCAAAAGAATTTCACAAGTTTTGCGATGACAAGCTGTTCGCTACACATTGCGCTCTTTGACAAAATTGAGCATTCTCGGCACGAGCCACGCGGATACCACGGGAATTTCGGAGTCCTTGAGAGCCGCGAGCTTAGAATAATCCATGGTCTTATTCGTGGGTGTGGACCAAAATGTACAGGAGAAGGCCTCGAGGGTTGGAAAGTCACCTTAAAACGTGACCGGAAGAACAAAGACTTCAATTTCGTTCCACGGATCGCCCTCTCTCGAATCTCCTTCGAGAGCCGCTCGAAAATTTTCAGTTTCTATTCAGCCTTAATTACCTTCTCTGCTGTTGCGTTTATGGAAAGCCTCAGCTTGACTGACGTTTAAAACGCTAATTAGGCATTGTTAGCCCGGAGCAGATTTGTTCTGGCATGCCGATTTTCTCCGCTCCTAGTCTAGAAATTGACTAGTTTCTTCAGTCTTGGCTTCTCCGACTTTTGCACACGTGAGAATGTTCGCTCGATGAAAATTGAAACCGCGAAACAGGATCCACGCGTATACCTCGGACGAAAGTGTGAAGCGTTGTAAATGGAAAATTGTTACTTGGTGAATTTTCAACATTTGGATCAACTTTTTAACTTTCTGTTTCAAGCTCATTTTGCGTATCGATACCGAATCTAAACTTTGTTTTGTTATTGTTTTGATGGTTGGTTCGATTAACAACGTTCTAAATATAAATGTATCACGGAATAAAGAAACCAGAACTTCAACTTTTTTCAAAGCCAGTATAAATGTTTCTATCCAACCGCAAATCCTTTCTTTTCTTTCTTCGATAAAATAAGTTTTCTACGTGAAAACGTTTACGATACAAAAATAGTTTTAAAACTATTTCCTTGGATAAAAGAAAGTACTACGTGAAAATTTAGACGGATAATCTGAAAAATGAAATTATCATAAAAACGTCGGTTGAACTTTATTTATTAATAAAAAATTTAAATTTACGAACAAATTTATTGCTGCTACATCTTTCTTCCGTGAAAAATTAAATGTAACTTATTAAATATAATTCACAACTGACACTTTTATATACCAACTTTTCCTCATTCTGTGTTGCAATCTGTCCTACCACTCTATAAATTTCATCTTCTCATTCCGTACAACTAATTGAAAATTTTAATTATTAATATTTAATTATAAATTTCATTTTTCCTCTTCTTGACTCCATCCCTCGTATGCACATTCAAAGAAATTAATTTAAAAATCACGGACTTTACACTGCCCAACAATATTATAAATTTATCACAAATAGGAAAGTGTCGTGGCATTATTGTGACTACACAATCTCGTGAAAATTGTTCTCTCTCTCTCTCTCTCTCTCCCTGTGCCAAAGATTGAAATATACACTCGAACGAGGGAATCGTGAAACATTATATTGCCTCGTTAAGCATTTAATAAACGTATATTAATAATATACCATCGATAAATCGATGGTACGCCGAATGATTTTCTATACGAATGACCGAATCGATACCGATAATACGCAATTTACGAACTGCTCCGAGGCAGCGCCGCGTGGTCGTTTCAATTTTCCGCTTTCACGCAGGCATACCTACGCGCGCATCGCGCCATTCTATGCACGACAGATCTCACGGGAATATTCTGTAAGTGGATTTACAACCGGCACGTCGCTCGCATGCGAATGCAACGCGCAGATTTTACCGCGATTTACTTGTCACAAGCTTAATATACCCGCGCCTGTCTGTTGAAAATGAAATTCGATATGTTCCGCCGCGTTAAATCCTCCGTTCCATGAATACGCACTCGCATAACTATCTTGGATTATCGTACGCGGCGCAAAGTGAATTTCGTTGGTGCTTGCCGATAATATCGGGATCAAATCACGAGATTTAAAATTGAAATATCGGCCTTTTTTTTCTTTTTTTCTTAATATTCGAATAACTTGAGATCCAAAGAAATTAACACCTCTTAATTGAACTTTGCCACCCGAGAATGCCTTTGAATGGAATAGAACGTGATGAGATAAGTCCTCCGGCAACGAACTGTGCGCCGATATGTAGATTACGTCCATTGCATAAATTTTTCATGGGGAAAGATTTAAAATTTCAATGGAGGCTGATAAAAAAAATGCAACTAATTTAAATACGATTGGCCAACTCTGGCTACTTTTATAACAGGAGAATCAATTTTCCTGTGTGTATTTTTTTGCTGTAGAAGGAAACGCGATCCAACCGATTCGAAAGCATGCCTTAAATATTACGTTGGACAACGAGAAGGTTACATACATGTGTTCGTTAATGAAATACTCTGTTTGTACGCGCATGGAAACCCGAACCGTCTCGGTTGAAGCTAGAAAGGCAGTTACCTGAATGTCGCTAGTTCCTGGCAGCCAACTTGGCTATTACGGTTTCATTCTGTCGAGCGAATATACACGGAGAATTTTAATGAACGCGAGAACTTTAAAGATCCGATAGGCATGTCTCGTAACGTCTGATCTTATCACTAACCGCTTCCACGAACCTTTGCATCCGCCGGGTTATTTCGCATTGAGTATCAGAGCCTTGATCCCTTTTGCTAAGAATCAAATGTTGAAGTTCAAGAATATGAGAATGGTCTTTGTGTCACTCAAGCGAAATTTCATTTTTAATTAAAACTTACTACGACATTAATATCGCTTTGAAGAGTAAAATCAACCCTCGCTCTATACAAGATATGAAAAAAATATTGGAATTTTGAGAATTAAATCTATCCCATCCTTCGAAAAAATTGTAAATACAACACCTTATATCTGCTCTCATATATGCAAATTTTTACAAACTTATATATAACTTTTAAAATATGCATATACGCGTGTTGCTTTCTAATCTTTTAAAATCGTTTTCAATTGACTTTTGTTGGCTAATATGCATAATGTTGCATGTTCAATTAGCATAAAATTTTTTTCCACGATCAATTTTATCCGTCGATAATTCATTTTGTCCTGCTCCTCCTCCCCCATACAACGAGCGGACGGAGAGTGTAATTGCAATTTTCCTTCCTGTTTCAGGCGATATCGAGGACTGCCTGGTTGCCCCGGTGGCCCAAGGGCAATTCACGCCGCTACCGGAAGCTCTTTGTTGGGCCATTTTGGAGTTGACTTCTCAGAGGCAAGCTGCCACTCTGGACACGCTCAGATCCGCCCTGAGGAACGCGTTTCCAGCCATGCAGAGACCAAGCCGCGAATTGGTCTACGACGCCCTCGCGAAACTGATGCAAGAGAGAAAGATCTATCACACGTCGCAAGGTTATTTCGTGGTTACGCCCGAGACGAGGAGGCTTAGACGCGACACGAGCAACTCGAGGAGATGTTCCAGAGAGGTGAGCGGATCGAGAGGTCAGGGTAGCATGCTCATGTCCAACGACGAGGCCATGGCGCTCGTACACGGCGAGATGCTAACCCTGAGGGACGGCGACGTGACGCATCAAGCTGTGCAGACGAATCTGGCAGACGTTATTTGCGGAGGTAAGAAATCCCGTACGCTCGTCGATCATACATCTGCACTTTATCGTCAAGTTTAATCGGCGAAATTTTGCTGAGAAGAGATAGAAATCGCGAGAAGCGTGGAAATCCTTATTTCCTTCGTGGAGGTTGACTGAAATACAATTTCGAAAGATTTTGTTTTCTTTTCGTTCTGAGGAAAAGATAAGAGCGCTCGTGAATAATAAGCTCGCGAATCTTGGACGAGTAATTCTGAATAATTCACCCTGTGTTAAATCTAGCTGTAAAGAAGAAACGAATCCTTGGAAGGAAGATTCGAATCGATTAAAATAGATAAAATAGATTTTATTCGTCCATATTTTATATCTTATCGTAATTCAAAAAAAAATCTCATCAAAGCGAAGGTTCCTTCCGAGAGGGGAAGCGTAAATCGATCGGGAAACAAAGTTGCCGCGCCAGGGAGGGAGAGTCAATCGGACAGAAACTAGCCGGTCGATCCGCGCAAACCCGTTCGGCACGTGTTCGTTCGGGGATCGTTCGGGAGGAGCGTTCGAGAGCTGGCCGCCGAGAGCGATTCTTTTTCTCTAAACTCGATGGACGAGTCGAGCGTGCGTTTATGTTGTTGTCGTCCTTGGAAGCCACGCAAGTCCCGCGCCGGAAGACCCCTCGCATTCCATCGGGGTGGATCGAAAAATCGTCGCGATTCGATTTAAATTGCGCCACTCTTATCTCGGTATTTAGAGTGGTTGTCGTCTCGGCCGCGAATTTATATCCCCGCGCCCGTTTTAAAATTAGAAATTCAAATGGTAATACCGTATCACCAGGCCTCGTATAAAGAAAAGTCAAACATTTTCTTTTTCACCCGATATCGTGCACGCGCCCGTTATGGCCAACGTGATTTCAGCATTGTACGATAATACCGTTTCCATATATTGCCCTGCCCTATCAGCCTTTTCTCTCCGCCGCTGTCCAACGGGTGGAACGTTGCGTGCAACGACGTTACATTGTTACCAGCGGCATTGATCGCCACCAGGCACCGGCCATCCTTGCATGCGATCGTATTCGCCGTGTTCTGAAAACACGTTTGCCCTCGTCCTCTTCGTAGTCGTCGTCGCGGTCGTCGTCTTTGTCGTTGGTCGCGAGAACTTTTGGACCCGCTCAAACTGGAATTTTCTGGCGCATTGACACGGAAACACGTCTTGGACGTCTCGCGTGTGTTTCACCTCTCTACATACATCGGGGAGGAGGGGGGGGGGGGAGGAGGACGTGTATGGAGGACGTACACGCGAGCATCGGTACACATAGCAGAGAGGTGAGCAGTGCCAAGTCGGCGATCCCTGGAAAGCGTTTAGCACAGCCGATATATTAGCTATTGGTCACGACATTGTCTACCGTTACACACGCTGTCGAGATCACGTGGGGGGCCACGTATATAATCTTCCTACTTTTCTCCGACTTGTTTCCCGAGTGATTCTCACGCTGCTAACCTACAGCCGGTCGTCGCCACCGCCTCTGGGCTCTCTGTGTACCGCGATGAAAATCAGGGACGAGGGTGTTCCACTTTTTGAGGAATACGACTCGCGTGAATCGAACGTGTCCGCGAATGGACGAGCGTCTCTCGATCGTCGTTCGATTTCGACTCTTGTATTCTTTCCTGTATATTTCCGATGATGACGAGTCATGGAACCTACTCTGCTCTTGTACTTTTATATCTTAACACGCCTTCTTCTCAACCATTCTCGAGTGTTAAAAAGGATTATCACGGAAGAAATAAAAAAGAAACTTATTCCATATATTGTCATTCGTAAACGATTAATCCTTGAATTTGAAAGGCACGTAAAAATTTCCAGGTAATCCCAACGACAAAGTTCTGTTCGCAAGATGTCGATCGATGCCGGGTCGCCTGGAGAGGCGACATTCTCTGCGACTTTGGGGATCCGCCAGACGTTTACACAGAAGCGGAAGTTCACGGTCTTTGCCACGAAGGCCGGAAAGAAGCGACACCTCGTCGAGCGCGGAATACGCGAGCACAGACAGCGCGCCCCATAGCCCAACCAGTGAGTCGAGTCCGGGGAAGGGATTGTTTTTGGTGATGGATGATCGCTTAATCGGGAGACGAGCTTAACTTGAGGCTTGATATGTGGATATATCCTCTTTTCCGTTTAAAATCTTTTCGCTTCGTATTTTCCACGCAATGTGTAAAGAACGAGACCGCCACTTGCTGTTTTGCAATTTATAGTTGAAGAAATTTGTATTTCCGTTTTCTCGCTGGAATATTTTTCGTATTCGTGTAAATAAGATCTATGCGTGCAAATCTTGAATATCTTTGAAACTGATGGATTAATGTAAAAATTGTAGTGTAAAAATTCAAACGAAGAGAGAGACGAAGAAATTATTAATTTAGAAAATATTTTAACTCAAATATTGTATAATTTGTTACGTGAAAGACAATGTAAACTTAATGATCTTTCATTCCATCAACTTTCAATATTGTCCAACTTTTGTCCAAAACATTTCTTAATTGATGATCGACAATTTCGAAGATATTCGAGTAATTGAATCTTTTTCTGCTCTGCTCTTCCATCTATTTCCGTTGCGAGAATCCTGGGTGGAGAGTTTTTGCGATTCCCCCCGAGTTCCTAAATCCGCGACCACAGCTGAACATCCATCAGATACAGAAGCTTCTTAGACACCCTTAGCTGGCAAGCCCTTCCTCGATCCCCCTGAATCTCTCGTTTAAGAAACGCAACACCGGATCCCTCCGCTTTTCTCAAGGTTTCTCGGGGATTTTTTCAGAGAAAATAGGTCTACTCTCGAGGCTGTTCCGACGCAGTACGCGAAGAAAGGGTGCACCGTTAATGGGCACGTTCAGCGCCCAGTATCCTCCTACCGAGTGGTTTAATCCACGCGTCGTTCACCTACACAGCGTAGCCACGCAAACGAGAGCCGCTAGCCCCTCGGTGAGTATTTCAATTTGAAATACGAAAAAGGAGAATGCATCCCCGTGTTTTGTTCTTCGATCGAAAGGTTTCTTGAGCCAATACGAAGTTTCTTCGTTAGAAATAAACGTTAGAAACAATTGTTCACGCGTAAAACGTTATGATCGGTGCGATGCGAAATAAATACAGATGATTTTGTGCATTATAAAAAAGAGAACAGAAAAAGTGAAAAAAGAAAATAGGAATCGAAAGAATGAATATATAAGTAAAGTTGTAAAGTTATATTTTTTCAATCTTCTCTTTTTAATAATCCGTTTATACAAGATTTCCATTGCGTTCGATATTTACCTGTCTATCTCGAAAAATTACAATCATTTTTAACGAATTTAATATATTATTGCACTCGATCAAAGACTTTTGCCAAGGATAGCAGGTAGGAAATTGAATGCAGGAGCCATGATTAAATTGCGCGAGTCCGAAGAGCGCACGCTCTTAGCCGGTTAACAACGAACTAACGTTTTCAGATGATGGAGGGTCTAGATCAATCGCAGGCCAGTTTCCAAGTATGGGATGATTCGAGCTCCGTGCGATCCGCCACACTGCCCAGGCGACATCGACGCCAGGCAAGCGGCGATTCCTCTAGTTTATTGGCGAACTCGACGCCAAGGAGTTCCAGACGACATCGATCACCCTGTTCGACACTGCCCAGATCAAAGTGCTCCAGCCTGAGCAGATGCACGTCCAGAGCTTCTGTCCTTCCCCCAACAACGAACCAAGAACCGTATCAGACGCGCAATCAAACGCAAAACGGGAAAAATTCGGCCAACTCGTCGCCGAGTCGAAGCGGCGGAAGTTCCGGATCCGTCAGAACGACGAACGCGAGCCCGGCGAAAACGGCCACGTTGGGCAGATCCAGCACGAGACAATCCAACTCCAGACGACCCAGCCATGATTCCACTGGCAGCGGTACGAAATCAAACGGATCGCCTCAGCATAAGGTGATTAAACATGTGTCTTTTAGTTTGAGAATAATCTTTGCGTTGTATTTGTTCTTCTTTAAAAATTCCGAAGAAAAACGAATCCATCGTTATTTGATTAAACGTGAGAGACTACTAATTAAAATTTAAAATTGACACGATACATGGAAACTATTCTTTTTTTTTAAATATTAACTTCGAATTTATTAAAGAATTAGAGAGATTGAGAAATTGATGATTGAAAAATTGATTCAATCGTCGTATTAAAAAATGTTCGAAAAATTAAACTACTTCTTTCAAAGAGAAGTTTATTTGCAAAATTCTAAATTATTTTCGAAGAAACAGTAATACCTGTCTCTCTTTGTCTATTTCAAAAATCAATTTTCTCCAAACCTACTTTCTACCAATAGAAACTATCTACACTGTAGCTTTATGTGCCGAATGAAACATCGGTGATCTGAAGACGATAAAACAGATATTACGTACGTAATATTTTTCCAGGTGCTACAAAAGACATCGTCCGGCCACTCGTCCCACTCCAGTGGAAAATCGATTTCGAGCGGGAAACTCTCGTCATCGCCGTTGAAAACGTCCACGTTACCAGCGAAATCATCCCCGCTGAAAATGGTTCAACAAGGATCCCTGACACCTCTACAGGAGGCGCAGAATTCGATAACTCTGCAAGTATCGACGAATCTAACGCCGGTCAGCCCATCGCAAGATCAGCATCGCTCGATCCAGAACAGCGTGACGCTTGCCTCGAACGCAACGAGCACGACAACCATCTCCGGCTCACCCGGCACAAAGATCTACGTTCAACAGAATAACTCTCCAATGAGATCGGTGATCACGTTCGAGAACGGCACGGTGAAGACGAAATTGGCCGACAAGGAGGCGATGGATTGCAAGGAGAAACAGGATCGCGAATTGATCACCGAGAAACTCTACAAAAGCAAGATAGACGAGGAGAAGCTGTTCAAATCGAAACTCGACGAGGAGAAGTTGAACAAGTCGAGCAAGATCGAACGTCCTTCCTCCCTTTACGCTTCCAAAGAATCGAAACCGAGCCACCTGTTGTCGGAGTCCGATAAAGAGAACAAACCAAAGGTGGAGGAGGAAGTGCCTAACAAATTGAAACTGACGAATCGGCTGAACAACAGCCAGGCGCATCTGATAGACGGATCGACCAACAACATAGACAAGAATTCACTGGTCAACGAGCAATCAAGCATGAAGAACACGAACGACGCCATGAACAACTCGAGAAAATTGAGTCTATCGTTATCGAAGGACGCTTTGAGCTACAGGAACCTTCTCCGTCCAGGTTCGAAGAATAACATAGCGTCGAATCCACCCTCGCCCACAAAATCTTACGACGGTTTCGGTGGATCGTTCAACAACGTCTATATAGAGAATCTCGAAGCTACGAAACAGCAGAGAGCGCCTCAAGGCTCGGAACCGAACTTGGAGAAAACGGTCAGTCGAGGAGATCTGTACACGTATCCGAGTTTGAGCGACATGCAGGTTCAATTCACCAGCCTGGCGGCGCAAAAGATTCTGAAAGGTTGCCCCATCAACAGCGTGGACACGTTGGTCGAGGTCAATATGGCGGCTGCGGAGAAGCCGAACAACTGCGACGTTACTGTTCACACCGACTTTGGACTCGTTTAAAATTTTCATCGTTCTTTTTGATCGGGAAAACTTGGCTTGGTTCTCTCCACGCGTCTTTTTCGTACAGTGAAAGGTTGAACTTTAGCACGATGAACTTGTCGGTATCTCGTATGCTTGCGTCGTGGTAGAAATGTTAAATAGCAAACGGATGAACGCTGTACTGCTTAAGCATATAGAGAGAATTGTAAACAGTTACCAATAATAAATAAATAATTTGTTATGCTCATCGAGTATATACATATATAAATATATGTATCGCACGATCGCATGTTATCTCTTTAACCCGACAACAGTTTATTACGATCCGATCATTCATGTTAAACCATCGATTATCATCCAGATGATTCTCGACACATTGTGCTTCCATTGATCATCTATATGCTTACGCGGATAATAACGTTCGATATAATATTGTATAAAATAAAATCCCAGCCATTCCACGGAGAATATTCAGTTAGCTTATTCATAGTTGGTCAGAGCTCAATAATCCGGCGAAATATATTATATCCAAGCGATAATTTTTATTCGCGTGATAATTTAAGTTACGGATATCTGAATGCTCGTCGTTGCATTGTCGTTGCTCTCATCGTTCGTTCATTGGCCATTCTCATTTTAAAATATTCTTCATAATGATGTTCGTTATTATTAGGAAAGGAAAACTCAGAAGATTTATCTGTGTGTAATTTATAAAATTATAATATTATTAATCGTGACTTTTACTTTTTTTACTTTTTCATTCACACGTATTTGATCGATCATAGAACAATGCATTGCGTGCATCAGATTTTATCGTGCCTCCATTGCCTTCGTTTTTATTTTTTCTTTTCCCTTATTTTTTCC